GTGTGTGTGTATGTGTGTGTGTTGGGGAGGGGAATTATGAAGCGTGCTGACAAAACGAAATATTTCTCGGATTTTGGCCTACGACAAAAGAAAAAAGAAATGTCGAATTAACTTTAGAAATTGAGTTGGTACAATTTATTAATATGGAAAGATAACAGACATGTTTAACTTAAAGAAAATCGCATTAGATGACTATCTACAGATCCGACCCCTATGTCAATTCTCGGTTGATATCTCCAATCACTGACTGTCATAAGTAGCTCTTTTTGTCAGCATGCCTCACAATTTATATCGAGTATCTCTGTCTTTTCTGCAGGGATGTTGTCTCCCTCTTCATCCCAAATGCGCCTGATTTAACAGATCGAAACCATTAATTCTAAAATCATCACCTCTCTCAGATCAATGACTTACATCTGTAATCCTGGAATCTCAATCCGCTATTACAGTTAATTGATATACTAATTGTGCATGTAATACACTATTGGACACAATCACATACACTTTTTTCTACTAATCAGATGGCGTCAAGCTCATATAAATGGGCAAGGAAAAAAAACAAAAAACAGATCGAAACCCGCCTCCTAAATCATCTAACTTTCGTCGATATGGGAATAAAACACCAACATTTACAAATAAAAAGAAAAAAGGAAAAGAAAAACACATTGAGTGCGAAGTTTTATGTAATCTGAACAATAAAGATGTATCTTATCTTATCTTATCTTTTCTTAGGTGTTTCAGCATGTAATAAGTACATACTTTTATGTCCTTTCTTGTTTTGTGTGTGTGTGTGTGTGTGTGTGTGTGTGTGTGTGTGTGTGTGTGTGTGTGCACATTGTCTTTGTATCATCCACCTACATTATAAACGACCAAGACAAAGTTTAATCTCCAAAGATTAAAAATATTGTCATGTCATTGTCACTGTCATTGAAGCTGTCATTGTCATTTTCGTTGTCACTGTCATTGAAGCTGTCATTGTCATTTTCGTTGTCAGTGTCATTGAAGCTGTCATTGTCATTTTCGTTGTCAGTGTCATTGAAGCTGTCATTGTCATTGTCATTGAAACGTGAGGCAGCGTGGTGGAATCAGGCTGTCGTCAATTTTTGGGCATGTAGAGTTATTGGTCTCATCTTAAAGCCTGTTCACTTGTCTTTATTTGGATGAAACAAATATCCATTTGTCTTTTATACAAGTCGAGATATTTGCGAAAGAAGGAGGCGGGGGTCACCTGTTTTCAGATGTAAAATTAGTGAGAAAATGGCCGCCAAAGATTAGTTATTTCCTTAGCTTAAGAGTCCGTGGTAACTGAAAATTTTAATTTTTGTGCCTTTAATCAACGCTTTTCAGAAAAATCCACACAGAAATGAGTTCTTTAATGGGTATAAAAGGTGTTGAGCCAAAAAACAAAAATTTGATAAAAATTCTCAAGCCTGCGGAAAAATGCAAGTTTCTTCACTTGATTATTTTGACGAGAGCCTGATTCCACCACGCTGCCTCACAAACTGTCATTGTCATTGAAGCTGTCATTGTCATCTGTGTTGTCACTGCCATTGTCACTGCCAATGTATCTGTCATCTAAATTGTCATTGTCAATCCTTGACCTTGATCGGGCATCCATGTCCAGGTGGCTGCTGTTTCAGCCTCATTGTCATTCCACCATCCATTTTATTTTTTGTATTGCACTGAGCAGACGTCGGAGAGAGAACGGGCAAACACGTCATCTCGGGCTGCGTACCTCCAGGACAAACTACGAGAGGACGACATCTCTCTGGAGGAGGGCAGGAGGAGCCAGGTGGGCGTGGCCACAGCACGGAGTCAGAGCCGGAACTCCTACCTAGAGGACAGGCTGGGAGAGGAGGAGGCGCGAGGAGGTATACTGGGGGAGGAGGAGGAGGAGGTATAAAGGGGGAAGAAGAAGAAGAAGAAGAAGAAGAAGAAGAAGAAGAAGAAGAAGAAGAAGAAGAAGAAGAAGAAGTAGAAGAAGAAGAAGAAGAAGAAGAAGAAGAAGAAGAAGAAGAAGAAGAAGAAG